GTTGTAAATTTTATCTCTATTCCACCTGAACTCTACGTTGCCCCATTTCCGCACGAGGTGGGCGGGCCCCATTTCCTACAAGGGCTCCCGGGATATACCCGATCGATTAAAAGCAAAGAAAAAAAAACACGAATACAGTGACGTTTGCCGTCACTCGATGGTATCTATATTCCCCAAAATTGAAGTGTGTCTGGAAGAGCTGAACAGGGGGGGGGGGGGGAGGGGACCAAACATAAGGCTATTTTCAAGTTGCTACACGACACAGTTGTCGCGTTCATAAACCTATTTCGACACAAGCAATTCATATCGGTAAGTAACGATTTCGACATTGATATGTAGTTGCAAAATCTGAAAAATCATTGCCACATGCAGAAAATGCAAAACCACATACCACAAAGGCCACGAGGTTTTATGACGCGTATGCGGAGCAACTGAGATAGAGCTCTGCTTTCCCACCAGAAAAGCAGTCAAAATTTTAGAAGTGGCAAAGACGGATATGGGTTGACTGTTGGAGTAACAAAAGGGGATGCTAAGTGAATGGTGGATATTATTGTCGGCCATATCACTGCTATGCGCAAAAAACGAAGCACGGTTCCCATATAACATGTATGTACAGATGTGATAGGCCTGTCCAGACTTTCCAAACGAGCGGATCAGAAACACTTGATTCGAGTGTGACCCACTCCCTCTGCCATCAGCGGACGGTTCGCTGCTAGTGTTTACGGTCTCCGTGCACCGCAATATCACCCCATTCACGGGCTCGCCTCCGGCTGTCTTAAGATGCTGCTTTCTGTACAGACGTGAACGGTGTAATGCAACATTTCTTTTTAGACCTTCATAATACAGGCGACATGACTCCCTTATTGCCCTCCATAGAGTAGCCTCAGCGCAAAAAAGGACCTCTTCCTTCTCTCAGCTCCACATGTGCAAATATTTTCACACGTACCAATTCAAAAAACCGTGGCGCTGGCCTGGCTTTGAGCCTATCCTTTTGCATTCCCTTTCTCAAGGCCACGACCACGCTTGTTCCTATATATTTGATTTCTGTGACTATTTTTCGAAGGTCCGACTGCATCTAGACCGACTGCACTTAGATGTCGAGAGGTACGGGTTAAATACAGGGGTGCGGGAACGATTTTAAGTTGGTAGGAGGGGGAGCAAGTGAAAACTCACATGACAATCTTCCTCCACTTGTGTTATCATCGGATAGTGACCACTTGATTTTAAAGTGCGGGGAAAAGGTGATTTGGGGAAAATTTTCAGCTCACCAAATCTGTGTAGGGTTTCGAATTTTCCAAAGTTGTGGGGCAGGTTCTTATTCTTCTTGCGATCTCAGCTATTTAAGATAACTGTTGAGCCATGAATACAGTGACTGCTTATAATACAGTGTCTGATGAAATATTGTAGACTGCTGAATGAGTGAACATCGCAAGAAGTATAGTTAAGGGCACGAATTTCCGCGTTTGGTGTCATCAGATCGGTAGAGACATAAGAAAACAGGAGGAAAAAGGGCAACTCAGCTGCTCCACGCTTGCGGCCGCTCACGCTGCACAGACGGCTCAAAAATCTCCCGCCAATTGACGCCGGTGCTGACATCTGCTGGTGACATGGCGGATGGTTGGAGGGTCGGTAGATGGTACGTAGCAAAGGGGTGCCAGGCTGTGTGGACCAGCTTTAAGTCATGGTGTTCATGTAAGGATGATGCTTTTTTATTAGGAAGGCTCCAGAGATTGTCCTGTCAGCTCTATTCTCCGGGATTCCAATCCGTGTCGCTTGGACCAACCAAAACATTACGACGAATTATGTGGTTTGTTCTGCGCTAGAGCGACCTCGCCGTCCTGTTAAGTACCGAGCATGTGTCACCTTGGAAGCCCGACTGAAAAATCGTTGTACTATCAAGAGCGTTGCTTACAATATCTTTTGCGATATTTGCCAGCGAGCTTACCTGGGCGAAACGAAAACGAGCGTGCGCTTACCTTTTGAGGCATATCTGTGCGATGCCAGGAACCAGGTCGCCGACACACCGTTCGGTGATCATTCGTCCATTAGGCACCAAAGCGCACCGCTCACCAACCCTGTGCACATCAGCATCTGCGCAGATGCAAGGATAGGACTGACAAGGAAAATTTCTGAGGCCTTTTTATGAAAGAGTGCCTTGCGAAGATTAATGCATTCATTGACATCCGGCTCACGCTGTCTGGCGGTCTATTACTACTGGCCATCTACCGGCAAAGCACTCAACCTGCATTCGTATTTGTTTAACCGACAACCATCCACCAGGGTTTTCAGGTTATGGCTCATCACAACGTTTGCGTTACAACTTCGGGCCGTTACATTACTTAATCACTCGTAGAACACATTAAAATATATATATATATATATATATATATATATATATATATATATATATATATATATGTATAACTACGTTCACTGAAGGCGATGCTCTGAATTATGCTATGAAATACCATTTTACGAACGCCACTGTATGACAATATGATGGTATAATATGATATGATATAATGTATGATAATATGATCTTTAAGTATGATGATATAAAATCCGATACGACAAGACACGATGCAATCGCAAAGGCAACCAGTGTGGATACAAGACTAAGGCGCATGACCTAAACATTTGTGTTTTGAAATGCGAGTTTCTAATCCCTCAAAAGCGAGAGATGAAGGCATAATGATGGTCGGAGGCAGGCGGCTCCAAGTTGCCGCAGCACGATAAGGAACGGCTCGCTTGGTGGCTTCCAATATATCTAATCTTCCAAAGGATTTATAAAGTTATTTATTTTACCACCAGGACTGCCTTTGGCGTACATCGCCGCCAGCATATAACACCGACTCTGGAATCTTAATGCTGGCCCCGGATTGATGACTGGCTGAAAGAGAGGGACATGCTAGAAGTATTCAAAGTCGTAAGATGCAAAGAATCGCCCCCAGCTGTCCAACCGCTTCTTAAGCCACGGTCCTCTCTGTCTTTAAGGAAGACGCGCTCCTCCATGCCAATGTCTTCGCTTCCTCCGTCTTCAGTCTGAATGGCAGGGGGATTAACACATCACGCGACCATTGTTGTGCCGTGCCAGTCAAAACCGTGTCACCAGTAGATGGCAGCTCCGGCGTCAAACTGGGAACAATGTTTGAACCGCCTGTGCAGCGCCGGCAAGGGGCAGGTATGAGG